AGAGATTTTAAACTAAATATATCCTACCACTCCATATCAATTTTGTTAAAAGATGACAACCCGTCAATACCAAATTTGTCAAAATAACACAACCAATCAATTTGTCAAAAGATGAATAGTGATCAGCCTAATTTTTCAAAAAGTGAATAGTAGAACTTTCAAAATATTTCCTGTGTGAGTAGAATTCTGACTATACTGCCAAATTAGTACTTAGCTAGAGAGCACCGGTAGAATAAATTAAGCCCGAGCGACATGTCACAGAAAGAAAAGATTTCGGCGGTGGTTCGTCCACCCGGGGGCACTTCGACGATCAAGTCAGTTATCTCTCAAAGATAGCAAAAGTGCTTAACTCACTATTCAGAATATAAAAAGCGCATCTTAGACCGATGAGGATGCCTCTCTTTTATAGCCAATACAAACCTAGTCTTAATAGAAGCCTAGCTTCAATAGACTCTGGATTACTGCTAATCTTGGACTCCCAGTAGGATTGGGGTAAACTCTCTAAGAGTCTTATCTTTATCCAAACTGAAGTCTTCTCTCATTCTAGGACTCTTGTCCCTTATCTGCTTATCTCAGATTCCGATATCTTTGCAGATAACCTTGGCATCATGATCAGGACACATGCCACCTTAGCTGACACTTCGGTGCCACCTCGGCCACATGTTGCCATTCAAAAATTATGTCCCCACAACTGTCCCCTAGGTTTTATTACCTCGGCATACTGAGGTGATGGAACCTATATCATTTGAACTCATAGCACGTCAGCTAAACTTGCTCTATCTTTCATTACTGAGGTTGCCACACATCGGCTTCCATATGATAAGCACTTTAGCGTGTTTGTATCAACGCTTCAAAACCAATAACCAAGTCTGTTCAAGTTCATTGAGCCGAGATCGCCCCCGTAGCCAAGGTCTTTGCTTCATTAAATCAAGAACTCAAAGAGTTTTATCATGCGTATGAGCTGTCACGCACAATATTTCAATCGTTTCTGCCACGCGTCTTTCCCCTATTGAGTCGTACTTGATACGCGCCATCAAGTCGCATCATTTTTGCATGCGCCGTCTGACAAGCAAGTCGCCCTAGGCATATTGATTGTAATTTTGCCGTCATTTCGTGGTTTTGATCAAAACCACTTCTCTCTCTCCGTCTTTTCACTTTTGCATCTTCAGTTTCGTACTAACTCTCTCTCTCTCTACTCTCCCAAATCCACCATTGTTTTCAAGCTTTCAAGCTCTGCAACCACTTCTACTCTTCCCTTTCGGCGAAGCCTTTGCTGATCTTTTCCGGTTGCTGTCATCATCTGCCTTCGGCGTACTCAACAGAGGCTTCATTTTCTTTGGTGAGTCACTGTTCCTCCTTGTTTCTATTTCTTGTTTCTTCTCAAACTATTACATTTATATTCTGCTACTGCGACTTTATTCATGTTCTTGAACCTTCACTTGTGCGTTGAATTCAATCATGTATAAGGGCGGTTTGCCTTATGATTTTGTTTTTGCCCAATCTTTTCCTGTTTATACACACATTGCTTACATATCTGTTGATTTTTGCCACTGTTCTTGGCCCTACACACCTGCACAAACTTTATCACAGTGTTCTTGATAGTTCATCACTATTCTTGATTCTGAATCACATTTCTGTTTTTGTTTTCTGTGTTTTCTCCAGATCTTGCCTTCAATCCTTGTTTGCATAGGCTTAGGTTTGGGATTTGTTGTAGAACTCACGAATCTTAGGAAGAACTAAAACAAATTCCCCTTAGATCCTCACAAATTCTTACCACAATACTCATTTAGGTTTTAGCCGAGGTCCTTCAAGCCCTAACAAACCACTTCCCTCTAAAATCCAACACATTTCCTCCAAGTCGACATCATGGGTATGTGGAGGTATAGGTTAGGCACCCCAACTAAGTTAGAATATTTCAGGCAGGAGTTTTCTATCCCGGCTGACGTCCATCTCAGGTTGGCTGGGGAGGATGACTCCATCATGCCCACAGTCGACTCCATGCCCTTCCCAGTTGCAGCTTTCATAGAGTGTGGACTTAGGCTCCCTCTCAACATCCTTTTCTGAGAAGTCCTTTACATTATAAACTCAACCCAATGCAATTAGCCATTAACTCTTACAAAGTCATCAATGGTATCATAGCCTTAGCTAGCTGAGAAAACGCGAGGGTAACTTTAGCCGACATCCAATACTGCTACACCATGTGTGGCCTCAAGTTAGAAAAAGGCTATATCTACTACCTCAAACCGAGGTCCACATAATACAAACTTGTTGCCGACCTCCCAAACTCCAATAAAGGAGCCAGGGACGATTACTTCATTGTCTTGGGCAACCAGGAGTTCGCTCCAGATAAGGACCTTCACCTCTACACTCTTAGCCGAACAGTATTCATAGAGGGTAATGGTAAGAGCCAAGTGTTACATTTAGTTGTTTTCCAAGTCTTAAATACTTTGTTCTTTCTATATGTTCTAACGTCTGTTTTTCTTGCAGCTCTTCCACAACCGCTAAAAGACTTCCGTAAGTCCTTATTCCCTAGCAAGAACTTCAAAAAGTTGTTGGATCTTCCAGTTCATAGGCAGAGAGCCCCTTTGTTGCTCAATTACATCCCAACTTACAAGTCGATTCTTCCCGACATCCCGAAGAAGAAGAGCAAGTCTCCTCCTTCTGCCACAACTCCACCAACAACTTCATCACCTTAGCCAAATCAGGGATCAACTTCTGATCTAGCTGAGCAACCATCAACCTCAGCTCCATATCTGATCCCTCCATCTCAACGCAAACGTCGACGCCAAACTGCAATTGCTGCCGAGATGGGTCGCAAGAAAGCAGTTGCAGACGATCTTCTGGCCGACATCCCCAACACTGTCAACGCTCAACCTTCTCCATCCCAGTCTCAACCAAAGCCAAAGCCCAAAAGACTGGAGAAGGCCCAACCCAAGGCAACGGTGACTCAGATCGACACTGAGGACACCTTTCCTATCTCCAAGATTACTAAGGCAGAGAAAAGTGCCTCCGCTGTCGAAAAGAGGCCCGCCGAGGTTGCTCCCTCTGAATCAACCAAGTCGAAGAGACCGAGGTCCGAGTCGGCAACAACCTCGAGCTCTCTGAAGTCTGATGCCCCCTAGGCTCCTGTAATTACAATTGAGGACAAGCTGGTTAGAGCTAGCGACAGCGCCGACGACATTGAAGTCAGCGTTGCCCTCTCTACCGCCTTGCTCCTTTCCAATGATCTCAATCGTAATGTCGTGATAAGCAAATACAAAAATTTCGCTCTAATGTTGCAGCACTCCGTATAAGTAAGCCCCTAATACTTGGTGCTTTACATTCTCTGCTTTTCTTACTTAGAAAATTTTGCTAACTCTTGTTATGTCTATTTCTTCTAAGCGATCCAGCATGGCCACTTCTTCGTAATGCAAGCCTTCAACATCAAGAAGGAGTTGGCCAACAAGACCAAGGAGGTTGTTGGCTTGCAGAAGGCCATTAACAAGGCTGAGGCCAAGATGAAGACTCTAATGAAGCAGGCTGAGGAAGCCAAAAAAGCTCAAAAAGAGGCTGATGAGAGGACAGGGGCCGCCGAGGCCATTGCCAAGGTCTTTGAGGGCGAAAAGAAAGAGGCCGAGGGAAAGACCGCCGACGCCCAAGCCGAACTTATTACTGCCCTGGCCACCAAAGATGCCGAGATCAAGGCCGCGGACAAGAAGGCGTACGCCGAGGGGGTAGCCGACGTCAAAGAAGACTACAAGAGACAAGTTAGGTAGGCATGCAACAAGGGTTTCACCCTTGGTTGGATCGCTGCACTGAAAAAGTTGGTTGTCCCTGAGGACTCTCCCCTCAAAGATGCCGGCAACCTCATCCTGCCATTCCTCCCCCTCTCCAAGCCAATCCGAGGACGAGGCTGAGTCCTAGGAGGACGCTGAGGCCAAAAAGAAGAAAAAAGAAGCAGCTGGGGCCAAGTCCCCTACTCTGAATGAACAAGTCCTGGACTTGACTCATGATGAGGAGGACGTGGTCTTAAAGGGTGCCTCTGCTGAGAAGACACCATCTGAGGCACCTATCGTCGAGAAGAGCCTCGATGAGACTCTTAAAGAGATCAACGCCGAGCTCGCGGCTGAGAAGGCCACCAAGAAGAGTTCCCAGATGTCCTCTAAGCCCCAAAACCAACCAGCTAATGACGTCGAATAGTCTAGTTTCTTTATTTCTTGTACCTTGTACTTTTTCTTACTTTTGAAACAATGTAAGCTTTTAATTTGGCCGACGTGCCACTTTTGTAATCTGAACAATTACTCTTTAATGTCAGGCCGAAGTGCCTTCTTTCCTTGTCTGAATGAATTCTCTAATTTATTCTTTCAGTGTAATTAAATGTTTGCCTTCCTTTTTCTCTTGTATGATTCTATACTTAGAATAATTTATGTGTCTTCAACGTACACCTTAACTGTGTAATCTTCCCGGTGTGGAATACTTCGACTATACCCACTAACAGTTTATCTCAGCTTTGTCCTAACACTTGAAAATATTCATAATATTTTCACAAGTGTTACTTACAACTTGCCACTTCACTCAAGACCTCTGTCTTCTATTATTGCAACATAACCTTGGGTTAACTTCAACTTGCAAATTTTTCTTAAAATTTTAACAAGTGTTAAACCAACTTCCTTTAACATAACCTCGGCTTAACTTCAACTTGTAATTTTTTCTTAATATTTCAACAAGTGTTAAACCAACTTTAGCTTGTAAATTCCAACTCCCAAGCATCATTTTCCAGCCCTCTGCCCCCTAATGTGAACTTCAGTTTCACTTGGGTTCTCATTAAGCATGTGGTTTTGACCTCGTCGCCGATGTCAAATTCGAACAAAGACCGGCCGAGGTTACCAACTTTGGTCTTTTTGTTAATCTGACTGACATGCACTTAGCTCTAATCTGTGTCTAATTCTGTCGATGTGACAAGTCCAGGTTAATCCAACTTAGTTCAACTCTATTATATGCAAGTATAATTCAACTCTGTCATATAATAAGTCTAAGTTATTCATCATGTTTCGTTTAGAAACATCGCTAACTTAGTTCAACTCTATTATATGCAAGTATAATTCAACTCTGCCATATAATAAGTCTAAGTTATTCGTCATGTTTCGCTTAGAAACATCGCCAACTTAGTTGAACTCTATTATATGCAAGTGTAATTCGACTCTGCCATATAATAAGTCTAAGTTATTCTTCATGTTTCAATCAGAAACATCGTCAAGTATCTGGTCAGTTACACTACGTAAGTTTAAAAATCAAGCTAAAACTTTATTATTACTTCGGCTAATAACAAAACAAAAGAAAACTTAAAAAACAAGAAAATCTAGTGATAGAAAAACTTCAGATTGCAAGTATTCCAGGGTCTTGGCAGCTCTTTGCCTTCACTGTCTTCAAGCCGATATGCCCCATTGCCCAAGACCGAGATGATTCTATAGGATCCCTTTCAATTCAGGCCAAGCTTGCCCTCTCTAGGATCCTTCTTGTTGCCGAAGACCTTTCTCAGGACGAGGTCACCAACTTGGAAATCTCGTGGGTTCACCTTCTTATTATAAGCCCTGGCAAGCTGCTGCTAGTATGCCCCTAGTTGAATTACTGCTTTCTCCCTTCTTTCTTCTAGCAGATCCAGATCTCGGGCCAGGAATG